CATTTTTTGCTAAATGTAAGAAATCTAAAACAGTAAACCGTTTTAATACAGAGACTATGAACATGCTGACTGGGACAGCTTTCGGTTTCTTATTCTGCACTCCGATTGGACTGCGTTTTTTTCTTGTCTTGAACTTCCTGATGCATTACATATATTCAACGTCACCATCAAATCTGCTTTAGACACTACTATCCCACTCAAAACGTCTTTCAAAACAGTTACTCCTTATATCACCTTCAGAGCTAGGGCTAAACTACGTCAACTAAAATGGGCGTATCGCAAATCTAAGGACTTTAGCATCCTGTACCAAATTTACGCTATGTTTGAAGGTGTAAAATATCAACATGGAGTGCGTAGGCAAATCGAAGAAAATAATGCTCTCGCAACTGAGTGTAAGTCCCAAAACCTCTGTCGTTTGCTTAACAAACGCATGAAAAAGGACTCAGATCGAAAAATTCATTATATACTACATGATGGACAGACTTATTATGACGAAGCTGTTATTTGCGAACTGTTTAGTACATGGTTCTCGCTGAATCTGAACACATCTCCTACCCCTGATACTAACACTCACTGTAGCAGCATGCATAATCTTTGTACCATCAAATTTGATCTTAATAATATTCAAGCCGCCATTAAAACCCTTAAACCCAATGGCAGCTGTGGTGCGGATGAGATACCTTCCATACTTTTTAAAATGGCAGGACCGAACCTTTCAGCGCTGTTGCTTAAAATTTTTACCTTATCCCTTGAGTCTGGTACATACCCCGAATCGTGGAAGTTGACTCATATTGTCCCAGTACATAAATGTGGACCGAAAGACTTAATCCGAAACTACAGACCGGTTAATATCACCCCAGTTATATCACGTGTGATGGAGAAAGTGATAAGTTATCAACCATCTGATCACTCACTCAGGGAAGGTCACATTGACCCTCTCACAACAGGGCTTCATTAGAACTAGGTCATGTACCACATGTCTGTTAGATTTCTTTGATGAGGTTACCAGCAGATGCGATCAAAAGCAACTAGTAATCGTGTTGTATTTTGATATAAAGAAGGCTTTCGATAAGGTACCTCACAATCTCTTAATCAACAGACTTCAGTCCGTCGGGATTACCGGCCACCTGTTGCAATGGATTAGGTCGTTCGTCACAGATAGATACCAGCTTACGAAAATCAACTGTAATACATCTACACCTCGACCAATTACCAGTGTTGTGCAGGGCTGTGTTTTTGGTCCATTGCTTTTCATAATCTACATCAACAGCATATGCAGTTGTTTCAACACTGGTAAAACCTACCTCTATGCGGATGACCCAAAAGTGATTTATGAAACTAGCGAATCTGACTTGGGAAATTTGTTGAACACAATCCAGCATGAACTCAATACTGCAGAAGTCTGGTGTAAGCAATGTAACCATGAACTTAATATTGAGAAGTGTGGCTGGATGAGTTTCGGATGTGGTGGCCGATTCCGATCACGTCGGGCTCGCCATTTTGTAGTGTGTCGATTTACTGCGTGTTCTTAAGCTCGGTGATTAACTCGTTCAGACAATCGTTGCCAAGTAGCGTCTGACGGTTGATAAATCAATAGATGAACACATAGTGATGAATACATTTATTCGGGACACAGAAGAAAAACTGGGGATACATCATTATAGGAGCTCAATGTGGTCTTTATTCGGGATACTGATAAACTTGACTAAATCAAGATAGCCCTCAGCAATAAGTTTCAAGCCCTTCACGATCTACTCAATGAAAAGCAAAGATGAAAGGAATCAAAGATGCAATAACTCCAGCATGTTATGAGGTTCTGGGCCACAAGCAGCACCGTCACAAGGAATGGGTCTCCGTTGATAAAACGGATAAGATTTAGAAGGGGGGACAGGAACGCAGCAACCACAACCACCGAACAAGAGCAGAAAAAGAGCAGAAAAGAGGATGAGAGCTAATGAACGTAAATATAGCGAAAATTTAGAGACGATGGGAGAAAAAGCTGCAAGAGTAAGAAACATTAGACAACTATGTGTTACATCGAGGAATAATGCAGGAGAATATGGTTAACCAGATATTATCCTCACATCTCAGAAACCCCTGACTGAATTAGCCCCATCGATACCAGCCAGGCACGACGACCCGTGATCAGTACGAGTAGCAGCCCAGACCTCATAAAGCACTCAAGAGAAGCCCAGTATGGTAGTCTACGGCGTGCCCGAGTTGGTTAGTGGTAGCTTCAATGGAGCTCACGCACATGACGCGCATCAGTGATGACGACTATCACGTAAAATGAGCCTTCACACCACCATGTCAGTTAGAATTTACCGGTTGCCTCGTCCGTCACACCTTGCCAACATCAAGTCTCTTCAAGCTTGGTACACCATGAAGAATGATCTCTCTAGTTACATTAGGTGTTGCGAGAGCCGACCTAGATCTGTGAGACAACAACAAGGAGGCAAAAATAAGCTCACACTAATGACGGTTGACCTCGATAAACAACACCGGGCAATCGGTGAAAAGATAATGGTCTCGCTGATTGGATGCACTACATAGGCAAAAAGCCTGTGGAGGCCACTTCCCACTGAAGTGGTCAACACTTACATGGTAATATTAAACTTGTTCCTGATATGGTACTCAGAAAATTAAAATCCTCGAGTCTCAGAAAGTGACTAGGGTGTGATATTCACCCCATAGCATTGAAACAGTGTGCAGAAGCTCTTAGTTCACCGATAAGTGACCCGTTCAGGGATTCACTGGAGTCACACCACCCACAACTGAACGTAAACAAGTTCTTCTCTCCAGTCCTCCAAGGAGCAGACAAGAAGGACCCAGCTCGTTACAGATCAGTCTCATTACTACCAATACTATCAAAGGTAATGGAAGGGCTGGTGAATGAGCAGATGAGGCATTATGTCCATCTATTTGTTTATGTATTTCATGTTGATCTCCCACTCCCTCAAGTACTGAGTAGATTCAGTACACGATGCTGCAGTCCCTAGATATGCAAAATGCCTATCTTCATTTATGTAGCTTAGCCCCGATTTTTTCGGTAATATAAGGTGTCGTTGTTTTTAAAGACGTTTTGGAGGGGATAGAAGTGTCTAGTGCATACTTGGTGGTCACAATGTATAGACGTAATGCTTCAGAGAATTCAAGACTAGTAAAGAAATTAGTCCAGTCGGAGTACGGAATTAGAAAGTGGAAGCTTTACCAGTCAGCGTGTTCATGGTTTCTGTGTTGAAAATCATTTTGGATTTGTCGCATTTTGCAAGAACAGCTAGGGTGCAGAGATCTATTTTATGGTCGTTATTGAGAAACTTTTCGCAGAGTGCCACAATTTGGTGTGACATCATAACAAAATACCAAACGTAGAATGTTGTTATTTCTTGTAGAGAGGTACACATGTTACTGCCAGCCACGAGTTTCTAAGGGATTAAGTATGCTTTCGAAAGCCAGATGACCGGAATGTGTCTGCTAGTTGATTCTAGGGGGCTTGAATTTACCACAAATAATTTTGCCGGCGAGTTCAAGAGAGGCATCCTTGTCAAAAGACCAACCGAAAGCAATGTCAGTCGATCAACGAGTGTCTGGGGCTCGATATATACATTCATGGGTGTGCACAGTAAGCCATATAGTAGAAAGCTGTTCGTGAAGTATAGTTTCAATGGAAGTTTCTGCTTTGATGTTTCTAGATACAGAGATGAGACAACGATCAACCTTTTTAGAGCCTTGGTCAAAGAGAAAGAGTTCATTAGCAGGTTTGAGTTTGTGACATCCGAGAACAACCAACTTTCGGTAATCAGGACAAAAGAAGGGTTGTTTAAAATTACCAGGACGCGTAGGTGAGTCATCCCATTGATTACATAGCTGGAAGTAAGCAGGATTATTGTTACATAGGGTGAGTACCTATCATTCAGGGAGTAACAATGGACATCAGGTGGGTTGATTGCTGCGTTATATGGAGAGGACGAAGAAGTAGGAATACAGACTTCATAAATATACCCAGATGGTTTTGTGATCAATAGAGTTGGTGGTAAAAAAGCATTCAGTGATTGATAAGTGAAAAGCATATGAGATATGGTATGAAAGATTCCATTGTTCAAAGTTAACCGGTGATCCCCGAATAACAGATCTGTAAGTCTCCAGAGAGGATAAGAATGGTTCTTTTCGAAGATCCACTGGATTGGGTTGAGTGGGTAGGTCAAGTGGGTGAAAAATGCATAAGGTGTTCGGTCAGGAGAACTAGACGTGGAAGTGGATAGGATTTACTGCCTAAAGCACAGAACTGCATCACAAGACAAGCCCTCACTTGGAACCCTCGAGGTCAGAGGAAAAGAGGGGGGCCAAGGAACACACTACGCCGAGAAATAGAGAAAGACATGGGAAGAATGAATAAAAGCATAAGGCAAAGGCTTGCGGTCAATGCAAGGCCTTCCACATAGGGTGGAAAGTTTCATTCGGCACAATACATATCCGGGAGTTCCCTGTCGAAATTACTATACCTCGAATCATTCCTTTTCAGCCACAGTTACTCGTAATTGTCTGCCTTTGATTGCTGAAGCAGGCTCGTTTCTAGCGATACTAATTAGTGCCTAGATGTTGAGGTGTGTCAAAAGTCAACTTGGTGATACATTCCCTCATTGGAAAATGCTTTCTTCGTATAATCTTCGTGCCGTCTAACTAGCAAGTTTGGCAAACCTAAAGAAAACAATGCCAAGGAGTGAAGCTGAGTAACTAAAAACATGTCTGATTATGTTGAAGGCAGACTAAAAACAAGAATCTGGACATAGTAGTTAGCAGTCACACGACAGGTTGTTTTCGATAATTGTTAACAGAATACTACGAAATACATACTTGTAAATGTGATTTATAATTTCAATCTCAAAACTAAATTATTGTCAAGCAGAACTGCTGACTTTGTATGTGTGTGTTGCGATTGGACGTTGAAAGTGGTGGTTTTTCATACTGTGTTTAAATCGCTATAATCGTTGTCAGTAAACATGTCTTCGATGGACGGTGATCATGCGGATTTCGATGATGATCATGATAGGGACGAAGGTTTTCCAGACGAAGATCCTCCATTTCAGTCAGATAATGCTTTTTCGGATGATGGGCGATATCAAGATGACATGAGGTATCCAGAGGATCGTTATCCGGATGATTCTCCTGTGCATAAACATGACGACCGTTACCCAGGTCATGGACCGCGTCACATGAGGATGATGAGGTTAGTTACTACTTCATATCTATCAGATCGGAACAAAATGTCTTATTTTTATTGTCAACTAATTGCTGTTCTGTTTTGGCAGGCCTCAATTCCGTCCGAGATTCCAGGGTGGCTATAGGGGGCACCCACGTATGCAAATGCATGGTGGCGGTCGGTATGTTGTTGTTCTTAAGTGCATTTTCGTTTTAGAGGAAATTTTATGCGATCAGGAATGGGTCCACATCGTGGTCCTCATTATGATGGTTATGGTCATCCGATGGGTATGAACAGATACCCACCAAGATTCAGTCCACAATATCCTGGCCGTTTTCAAGGCATGAATGATGACCAAATGGATGATCAAATGGACGAAGGACATCCCTCTGGCGATATGAACTACCCAGGCCATGGGGACATGCCCATGCCCCCTAATTCTTATTCTAACATGCAGCACATGCGCATGCGTGGTCCACCACCTCAGTTCATGCCTCCAAATAAACAGATGCCTCCCGACCATCAACAGCCAGGGGCTGTTCCACCACCAGGATCAGCAGGACATCAGCCATATGGTCCGAACAATTCGTTTAATAATCAACCTGGGTCCCACTATGGTGGACCACAGACGCCTTACGGTGGACCTGGCGCTCCATATTCTGGAAGCCAAAACTCCCAGTCTTACGGCGCTCCACCATTTAATGGCCCTCCTGTGTCTCAATTCGGTGGCCCTCAGTACAATGGTCCCCCAGTGTCACAAATGGGTGATCCTAGTTCAAATCTACAGTCAGGTTCGCAGTTCGCACCACCCGCTAGGCCATACGGAGCACCTCCAGGCGGTCCTTTTCCTGTTCCTCCAACGGCTCCCTATGGCGGTCCTGGACCTAATTCACAACCTGCTGGATCGTACAATGGTCCTTCACAGTTTACTGGAACTGCGACCGGCCCTCAAGGAGCCGCGTCACAAGGAGCACCTCCAAATGCCCCAAACAACATGCCACCAACTATAGCAAACCCACCAGGCCCAGTCGCACCTCCAACCTGTGGCGCCGCGCCTGTTTGCCCACAATCTGCAACTCAGTCTCCGGCAACACAAGCGTCTGCTCAAACTCCAGCTGCCGCTCCCCCTGTTCCAGCAACTCCGGTTGCACAACCAGTTTCCAACGTTCCACCACCGTTCACCTATCCGGCTCCGATTCCGACTGTTTCAGATGGTAAGTCAGTCGCCCTATACTCCTGGGTTGTTTATTTAGTTCAAGCATTGAGTTTATCTTTCCATGTTGAGTTTTAAATCAGTTATGTTAGTCCACACGACCTTTGGTATATTAGCGCATTTGTTTCTTTTTAGGCTCGCACTTCGGTCTTCCACCCCCCTGTTTTCCTGCTATGACTGCTCCACCTAGACCCATGGTTGTACAGACTATTCCAGGGCCAGGAATGCCTCCTGGTGCGACTATACCATGCCCAACGATGCCACCTATGCCAATGATTGGTCCTCCACCCATACCTGGGATGCCTCCCATGCCTCATCCTTTATCTCATTTCCGTCCACCCATGCCTTTTATGCCACCCGTAATTCCAGTCAATCCCTTCCCTCCGACTATGATTCAGCCTAGGATCGTCGATGATATATGGGTTGAGAACCTTACAGCTGAGGGAAAATCATACTATTACAACATGCGAACTCGTGAAACTCGCTGGGATAGACCTGAGGGTGTTACCGTGGTACGACAAGGTGAGGTGGAAGGCACTATAAAGCCAGCGACAACACTGCAAATGACTACGACAGCTGTTTCAACAAGTGTTGGCACACCGTCAGTTTCTTCAGCTTCTCTCTCCAAGCCTCCAGAGGTTGCAGTCTGGACTGAATATCACAATCAGGATGGCAAGGCGTACTATCACAATGTAAAAACAGGCGAGACAACTTGGGAAAAACCGAAAGTCTTGACAGATTGGGAAAGTAAGTTGAGATTTGTATCTTTTATTTCCTCTTCTAGAGCAACAATCAGAGCCAAGCGGTCAAAAAACACCAGATCAACCTAGTCCATCTGCAACGACAAAGACAGCTGTCACACCAACAAACGTCACGATTCCCGTAAGTAAATTTTTGCTGTGCACTGTTTAACTCACTTATCTTGAGCACCTGAAGTCCAGTTCCTTTATTGTGAATTTTGCACCCATATCTCGATTACCCTATGTTGTTTGCATTTTGATGTCACATTATATGCAGTAAATTTCTTTTTTCAGGCTGCTGAAACTAAAAAGACAGTCGTACCAGATGTGAATGAAAAACCTGTGGAAACTTTGAAGTCTGATCCCATTGAAAACGGAGTTGTGGATTCAAATGAACAGGTGTCTAAAGCGGATTCAGGCAAAACCCCAAAGGATAGTAGCCGACCAATATCCAGTACTGCCGTCCATGGCACTCCATGGTGTGTTGTGTGGACAGGTGATGGTCGCGCATTTTTCTTCAACCCAAGTCAACGGCTCTCTGTTTGGGAAAAACCTGATGAACTAAAAGGTCGAACTGATGTCGATCGTTTGCTCGAAAAACAACCAAACACATCAACACCAAGCAACGCCACCTCACCTCAAGCAAACCCTATGGTTAATGACAATGAATCTGAAGGAGTCGATGGAATACCTGTTTCTAAAAGACCACGCCTGTAAGCCTTGTTTGTATTCAATATTTTAAAACAATAAGATAGTATTTTGAAAAAAACGATGGGTTTTGCGAAAATAGTAACAGCTGGTGGATGGGTTCGTGAAAGCAATCATTCATTGCTTCCCTTGTCTGGTTTAATCGTGTGAAGGATTAGGACACGTAATTGGTATCCGTATTTTACGCTGTCGTAGGATCTTAAACTAGGTAAACTGTTTACGGTTGTAGAAGAGTAAATGAATGTTGAGTGCTTAAGAACTTGTTCCACCTAACTCCGTCGGTGTTTCACAAAATTATTTCTTCTCCTAGGGAAAACGACGAAACCAATGGTCCTGCCAGTGAAGCGGAAGCGCCTGCAACTACTGAACGGACGGAAGATAACGATGCAGACAAGTCGGGTGGTACGTTGGATAAGATCCCTATCGGGCTGGAGGCCGCCAAAGAAGCCGAGGAGAGGGCTGCGAGAGAAAGGGCTGTACAACCGCTGGAGGTTCGTGTACGACGGTTCAGAGAAATGCTGGTTGAAATGCAAGTACGTTGGATCTTATATAATTTCCTGTCCAGTTTGTGGTAACCTGAGTCGATGTGCAATAGCGTTTGTTCTTATGTTATGCCATCGGTTTTGCTTTCACTTTAACTGTTTCAATTTACTTTCCTTAGGTTTCAGCTTTTTCCACTTGGGAGAAAGAGCTGCACAAGATTGTGTTTGACCAACGGTACTTGTTACTTGCAAGCAAAGAAAGAAAGCAAACGTTCGAAGCGTACGTTAAAGAGCGGGCCGAAGAAGAACGACGTGAAAAGAAGAGCAAGCTCAAAGAAAAGAAGGAAAAGTTCATCGAGCTTATGGATGAAGCCGGGCTAAATTCAAAGTAAGCTTTGTAACGTATTCTACTGTGATTGTAAAGCATAGTCTTGAGTTAAAACCATTGGATTCTTATTATCATGTCCTGGAAGAACACTATGGTGTCTTCGTGTACATGCTGATGATTTACTAATATGACCCTGTCTGTAAAATGATTAGTCTACATTGATAGGAATTTTGTTTATTGTGTTAATTATTGGTACAAAAGGCACCAGTAAATGCATGTGCTTAGCAAACTTCACGAATCGGTTGTGTTTCAATGTCATCTGTTGGAACCTAGTTCTTCGACAAAAAGCATCTAACCACTTCAGTAGATTGACATTCTAAAATCTTACTTCATTTTGCTACCACGGAATTAGTGTCTTTTTCAATGGCCGGATCAGTTAATGTTCACCGACTATGAAATGTGTTCGGGTCTTCAATAACGTTTTCATGTTCCTAAATTTTAGTCAAAATTGATGTTACTGATATCGTTTTGATCACCATAGGCTTGTTATTACTATTACTACGGGTGACTTGACTGTTATGATTGTTCATTTGAACATTCAGATATAGAAAGTAATCCTTTGTAACTAAGTTCTCAATTTTTCGTAGACTGGAAAAGGTATAAAACTTTCAGCGCACAGCGACTTTGTATCATATCTGTATAGCATTAGATGTTTCATAGTTGGTAAGATGTTCATATTTTCCACGTCTGTTGGCAGAGTAACTGTGTAAGTAATTATGGTGAAAATAACTATCGTTTTACAACCATATTAGTGCAGTTTCAGTAATAGGTATGTTCTCATGCTTTTTTTAGGTCCTCGTTTGGTGATTTTACAGCCAAATTTTCAAAGGACGATCGTTTTAAAGCAATCGAAAAATCCCGTGATCGTGAGGCCATGTTTCAAGATTACTTAGTGGAATTACGGAAACGTGAAAAAGAGGACAAGCATCGCGAAAAGGAGAAGGTATGTTGATTGCCTTTTTATAACCACGAACAGCGAATTACTAGACTTGCTATTAGTCAAATCATAGTTATTTGTCTAGTTCTTTTCCACTGTACTACAAGGCAACTCTTGACATAAAGCTATTCTCGATTTTGCAAAAATTACTTAAGCCGTTGGTAGTTATCACATAGTCGCTAAGTATTGCTGGTATTTCACGGAGGTTTTAGTCGTATGAAAGAATATGGTATGCTGATGAATATTCAGTACTTCTTCTAGGGTTAGCTTTATATAAACACTTTCTTAAATGAGCTCTTGCTATCATCTCAAAGTCAAGTAATATAATAATGTCGATAGGTTACCAAAGGAACTGTGTTAACATCTGATGCATGGATACATTAATTACACTGAGTTCTAACCATCTTCACACTTTACACATATTATATCTTTTCAATGAAACATGTTCTTAATATAATTTTCTGCTTTTTATCCTTTTGGAATTGTAATTTGCTCAATAATATGCAGTTTAAAACTTCCAATTACAGTCTAAGCTCATTTTAATGTGTGGCTGCGTAATGGTATGTAACTATTTTTTAATTCTCAGTGAATGTGTGTGAGGTTTTAGCGTATTTCAGATTCAGATACGGATTCAGATTTTGAACATGATTTATACACAAATAAACAGACGACTTTTGATAATTGGAATTGTATGTAGTATAATACTTCTAAGTTATGCCAATAAAATGTTTTAATGTGCTACTGTTTTCAGAAGTCAACACGTAATAAATTGGCTTGTTCAGTGAAAACTTTCTTTGAACATAACATATTGGTGCTGACAAAAATATTGATATGCAGATTAAATTGCGGGATTGTTAACTACTACTCAGTGATTTTTCATCATATTAAGAAAGCACCTAATAAGCTAGATAATTTAATTTTAACAAAGTATTACAATTTTTTTTCTCTCTGGTATGTCTAATTTTTCAAATTATCAATGTTTTATTCAAGACTCAATATTGCCTTACTTTATTTAGCCTCATGTATTCCTTTATCTCCAGGATTATGAAGTAATCTTACACACAAAAATTACACGTAAATGTTCACTCTTTGTGGCACAACTCATAATTTGGTATCATCAATTCTCTTATCTATTATATAATATGTGTAGAAATGTATGCGTATTTGCTTCCATATTCTTGTTACATCTTTTTGCTATATGAATATTTCGCCCAAAATGTTCGGTTCCGCCAATATCAACTCTTAAAGAGATGAATTATTAGGATACATTGTTGAAACAGGGAAATATGTGAATATTTATTAGTAAGTTCTGCTCATATGTGTTCAGTTGCTGAGACCGTGTACAAAATTGTCATGGGATTAACATCTCTGATTCCCTACCAGGAGGTTATTCTGTAAATTTTATTGCATACGTAGTTGTAATTATTAATATGAAATTAAAGATTGAATATTATGCAACAATCATGCTTTTGTGTCGTCGTACATTGTTCCGAAAATTCCAAAAAGACGCATCGACCGTAATAGTTACAGTGTGATATTGTTACGAATTTGGTGTTAGTACATAAACCGCATGTTGTCGGAAAAGCCGTCGGTTACTAGACGTGGAAGTTTCTAGTTTTTTCTCCATAAAAACTAATTACAACTTTTTTATCACGACACAAATTGGCATGTTTGTGAATGGCTTTGATATGTGGATACCTAGAGTCATGTATTCGACTAAGTTTAGAACAAATAAGTAGTTGTGTAGTCATAAAAAATCATTCAACAATCGTGTGATTCATGTTATTCAATTCAGCGCTGGACTGTTAGTAAGCCACTTGAATGAATAATCAAAAAATAGTCCCTTTGAAAAGCCCTTAATGTGTTTTATAATTTCTTTTTTGAATTAGAATTGTGATCAAAAGTGACCAGTTAGTACAAGAAAAGTACTATCCTTTAGGCATCTTTAAAGTTAATGATCAAGCATCGTAGTTTTTTTTACGCATGTAGCTGGAAATGATTTCGTCATTCTGGACAAAGAAGGGCACATGAGTTGGTCATTCGCACCGTTTAGTGTAGAAAAAAGCAAATCATTAATAATGTTGGTATGAGACTTTTCTTCGTATAAAGCTATAAAAGCAGTCATGTTTTCGTTAATCTCTTGAAATAATAGATAGTTGACTTAACACAAAGTAAGTTTTGCTATAATGAGTAGTAGTTTACAGCAGATACTTTCACTTGGCTGAGTATTATTTCACAGCTTTGATACGAAACACCCCGAATTTGTTGATTAATAATTATAAGTTATTTATGCTGAGTAATCTGGTGGAATAAGAAAGGTTTAACCCGTTTGTACAGTTAAAAAACAGCAATCATGTTTACTTGAATGTTATTTATATAACCTTGTTTACTCGTGTAGCGCGTCACATCAACGTTATTTGTTCCGCTTTTAATTTACAATCTTTTTGTAAAGCAATAAAAATTCTCGTGTTTTTCAACCTTGATTTCATCGTATCCAAACGTCTTATTGAGTAATGTATGCTACATCTGAGCAAAACAGTGTTTTAGGTTGGGGACATCACTTTTCATTTCTTCTTCTTATAATAAACTTATGATCCCTGGAACTGCCGGGATATGTATACCAATCTAATGTCATAACAAATTTCAGGATTTGGGCTAAAAGTATTATAAAATGAGTAGTAACTCGTTTTGGAAATTCGTATTTGGCTCATTCAACAGATTGGAGATAACTAGAGAAGTAAATCGACTTGAATTTGTCAGGTATATGGTTATACAGTTGATTTTGGCAGTCGTTCACCTTATTGTTGCTAACATCAGCTAAAATTGTAAGTAAATATAACATGAACCAAAACAATTTTTTGGGTTTTCATTATAAAATAGCTCTAAGTTGTTTCGAGCCGCCTAACGTACGAATTTCGGAAGGGTAATATTTTTTCTCACCCAGTAATTAGGCAGTATGAATATTGTGAGTTTATTCAAATACTTTTTTGTGAATGCATTTAAAAGTAATGTGGATTCTAATTGCATACTGTAATACTTTGATTTCAAGTAACTTGTTAGATGTGTTAGATGTGTTCAGTGTTGGAATTTTCACGTTGATGATTTGTTGTGATACAAGCTGATTAAAAAACCCTTAGTTGACTGACCACTTCGCTCAAATATCGTTCTCCACGTGGTTGTTAATAATAAATTATATTTAATTTAGGTTGCATATATGGCACATTTTAATTTATAAACCCCAATCTGTACTTATTAGGTTCCTTTAAATCTATGAAATTCGCTTTCAAAAGGAATCGGAAAGCCACATTGATGAGATGGGTTCCTAACACCAGTGTAACTTCTGATATCAATTTCTCAGGTTTGTTACGTCTTAGTTTTTAGCGGACTCATTGTACGAATTACTTTATTAAGCGTGAACTTGTACGTATGTATGCTTGTTTTCGTCTGCATGCTCGTTGTAGCGCCATTTACATCTAAATGGTAACAAATAACCAATTTCGTACGAGACATTTCTATTGTCGGTACAGAAAAATTCTAATTGGCTACTACAAACATTATATGATAATAGCATAAATTACCAATTCACAATCGATCGTTACTAGGTTTCGGAAACTTCAAGGCTAGAAAACTGACATAATAGATAACAAGCAGTTGTTTGTTCATGGATCAGACCTAAATCCATATAAATGCAGGATATTTCGTTGATGGATGGATACTACCTTAAAATCTCGTTTTTATTGATGATTTTTTAATGTCATAAATCTGTGTCTTCGTAAGTTTCGATACGATGACATTTTACCTGTCACTTAGTATCCATCCGTGTTTGCTACATCAGAGTTTTCGATTTTTATTTAAAATTACGTGCAAAACTGGTTTCATACCAAGAGCTAACGTTTGATGATTGGTTACCGCTAACCAATTTAGAAACGGAACCTCGTTATTATATGTGTCACAGTGTATTCAAATAACAATTATTAGCATCTTCTTAATTCTCTGTGTGTTATAATAAAAGAAAATCGAGCAACTATTTTTTTTCCATTTCGATTCAAACGGGAGACAAAACCAATATCGACACATTACATGATTCTCTCTCAATCCATATAAATTTATGAATTATATGGATTAGTACAGTTATTTTAATGCAGTTTGATTTCAACTTGAGGCGGACCATTTGCATATTCGGTCTCATTCAAGAATAAAAACATGTTCGAATTTCTATCAATGACAACAAGCTTTCAGGTGCCGCATCATTTGGTCAATTTCGTCTTATTAAAAAAGTAGTATTTTGAAAATTCGGTTTGGTTACTCAAACCTTTCAAATATAATTGGAAAAATTTAGTTTTCAAAACATTCAAAATAGTTTGTTGTTCCAAGTTATTCCATACTGAATTTAGGCAGATTTATCGTGCACATATCATTTCATGTACTTCCTTTTCTGTGCGAAAATTTCTGTATATAAATATGGATATAGTTATTTCGGGGGTGTCGGTTACCGGAGATGGGTCATGTGACATAGTAGTCCATATACGCCCCAGTTATTGCTGTCACGGTCATTAATCAAGTTATTTTGTTTTTTCCATATAGGTCAAAGTCGACTTCTTTAACATGCTGAAAGAACAAAAAGGTATAAATCGATACACTCATTGGACTGATGTCAAGCGCAAGTTGGATACTGATCCTCGTTATAAGGCTGTAGATTCTTCTTCCAAAAGGGAGGATTGGTTCCGAGAATTCCTTCGTAAACTTGATGATGTAAGTTTGTTTTTCTAGTTAAGACTACTTAAGAATTTCAATAGCTGATGTGTAGAATACTTGTTACAACGTTAAATGCGAAAAAACAAAGTAAATAAGATAATTTTCTAGTAAACTTCTAAATTAACCGACTTTTTAATTGCACAGTAGCTTTCTGAATTAGTTACCGAACCTTCATGAAGTTTTACATTGAGATCCTGAGTTTTACTAGAATAGTGGTGGTCGAAATCGTCAATCTTCTTTAGTTCGAAATACTTCATGGTGGGTTAATTTGTCCTGGTTTTCGTCATGTAAGGTTGATTCCGTCTCCAAAATCACTGTAGGTAGTCTATCAGTTTACCCAACACTCCTAACAACTACCAAAAGTCAATCTAAGCCTTAGCCATAACTAGATGGTTTCGCATTAATACGTCTTCTTTGTTATTTCAAACTGAAAGTTGATCGTTCATTCATCCATTTTGATCTGTGTAACGGAATGAGACATAATAATAGCTTTTTTTTCCCGAATTCGTATCGTTACCATTTACTTCATAGTTTTCTTCCTTGGATGAATAAACGTGCGGTTCTAGTTTACCCTAGCTTGTAGAAGTAGTTGTCTGTCTACATTGTGCCTGATGTGTTCGTTACATCAGCGAAGCTGCAAATGATCTTGGTCGTTATTGATATTTTTGCATAGTTGCAAAAAATATTTTTCATTTTCAGACATTCATGTTTATATTCTTTTTAAAAATCTTTCAGGCTCCCGTTGTCCGAGAGGATAGTTATACAAGAAAAGAACGTGAAAAAAAGGAACGTCAAGAAGCATCTCTTAGAGAACGTGAGAAAGAAGTGAAGGAAGCATTGTCGTCTTCTTTACGCGAAAGAGACAAGGAAAGAGAACAGCATTTACGCAATGAACAAGAAACCAACTTCCATTCAATGCTACAAGATATGATTCGTGATCCTAGTCTATCATGGAAAGAGGCCAAAAAGTTGCTTCGTAAAGATCCTAGATGGGAAGGTGTTAGTGATGTTTTCGAACGATCTGAACGAGAAGAGATGTTTAAAGAACATATCAATGGATTGTCTAAAAAATCTCGTGAAATATTTTATCGTCTATTGAATGAAATTGAAGGGGTGAGTTAATTCAATGCTGTCTTCTATTCCTCTGTTTATAGATTTCATTTGATCTATCATGGAAAGAAGCAAAGAAAATAATTAATAGTGATCCACGTTTTGAAAAGATTCCAAGTGATAGAGTATGTTGCCGTTTCGCTTATATAGGAATATAAACTTTATTTGTTTAGAAAAAAGAATCTGAATATTTATTATGGGTTGATATGAAAAAAAATCAAGCGAAAGAAGCTTTTAAGGAATTACTTAAAGAAACGAAAATAATTAATACTCGGTAAGTTGATGATGATGTTCCTATCAGTTCTAATAATTATTCATAAAATTAAATAGAACTAAGACAACTCTTGAAGAGAATGAAAATCACATTTCCGACATTATGGAGGCTCTTGAGGTTAGTGGCATTCATATAATTTTTTTTTTCAACTAGACTTCTTGTAATTTTTAGCATGAATGTCATTCTAACTAATTGTTTTTTCTTATTGTTTGTTTGTTATTACAGAAAGATAAACGATTTATCGCCTTGGATGCCTTTGAAGATGAACGCAATGCATTGATTGAAGATTATATTGACAGTTTAGACAAACGACGTACTCCAACTCCAATGTCTTTATCAGCAAAAGATTCCACCAATCGCCGGTAGTATCACAACAAGATCATTTGTTTCTGCATTTTTTCGCTTTGTTTTTCCCCCAGCCCCCCCCAGTCATTTCGACTAACTGGAGAATATTCTTATTCTCTTTCCATACAAAAAATATTTTTCTTTCTCACCTTATTACTATTTGAATTTGTAGACAGAATGTTGTGTTTTGATTGTAATAATTATGCTGTTTAATAAAGTTTCATTCACATTCTATAGACATTTTCTGAATTGTGTTAAGAAAGAAATATTGGAAAAAAAAATTGTTTTGCAATTTACTTTTTCTGTTTTGCGTTTTAATTAATAAAGTGAAGCATTTCATCATGTTATTATTATTGGTTAGTATGACTCTGTTATAGTTTTGCGTACTACACCATATTTGAGATCAGTCAATAGAATTCCAGAATGCTTTAAAGGTTCTATGCGTTGAGTTATCTTGGTGACGATAACTGATACTGTTAACATAGGTTATATATTTGTTGGTACGGTTGTACATTCAGATAGAATGAGAAAACCAAGATTTTCGGTTTCATTTTCAACCATGATGCAGGGAAATAGGGTTCTGTGCCCGCGTTGGTATGCTCTTTGTATAACTTCAGTGTGTATAAATGTAGTTTGATTTTCATGATGTTAGTTGCAGGACGGTTATCGTTTCTCTCTATAGTATGCATGTGTGAGAATGCTAAACTACTTAAGTTTAAAGTTATTCGGTATCATTTCATAAAGCACTATTATTTTAGATGAGAAAAATATGTTTATTTACACTGTTATGATGTGAATCAATCAGTAAGCTATTTGATTTGTCCTATTTACTAGTGAAAGTTATCTTTTCGCTGATAGTGTTCACACTTCTTAGGATTAGTACATTTTGATAGCTTCTTTAAAACCACTAGGCTAAGTTCATCTTCACATACTTTTTAGAACAACAACACTACCCTCTATCATTGAAATGAGCACGACATCAGAGTCACATAAACTGAGTTCATGTTCGGCAAGTTCAAATGATGAAGCTCATTTGCCAGACATACTACAAGATGCTCCAATGTAAGTCCTATCTATAGATTTGTCTTCAGTTCGTTTTGTCTTGATGTATTTTATAATTGCTGGTAGTTATATATTTAGAATATTCATTTTATTTAAATGTAGCAAGTGAATTCCCACTAACAACTGTATTGATATAAGAACTCTCAACTGGTTATTTGTCCCTCTCATTCAATCATTTTTTTTAATATCTTGAAATGGTTTTGCAAAATATTATTAAGCATATCAGACAGAAATTCCTACCTAAACGTGTTTGTCAAGCATGCCTATCATAATGCTCAGTCCAGCTATGCTGGCCAGAACACTTATGCTCGTAGGTCCGCTATGCTAGGCAAGTTTGTTAGACGTATTAATAACTGTACGTAGGTGCGACGTCACCCAGGCTTCTTCGTCAGATAGCTGGCATGTGCAGTGAGACTATCTTTAAAACTATGGCTGGAGGTTAGAAATGACTGATCCTATAAATATCGCCTCACTATACGAGTTTCCGTACCTGATGAATAAGCCTTTCAATTGCGGAGCTAACACCAAATACTTCGGAAATAAAGTCGTGCCTGCCTGGCTTCAACCATCTGTCCCTTGAATACTGTGGTTGCGTTCATGTTGAAGTCTCGGGACATAGACGTTCTCTGCGGGATCCACGAGTGATCATCCACTAGATCTCACCCAGTTAGTATCGAAAACTGGCGCTATTCAACATCTGTATATCTGGAAGCTTAACGTTACTAGGTCAAGAGTTAGTTTTGGTGATAACAAGAGAAGCAGTTAGTCGACCATGAGAGCGTCGTCCATCACGAGGCATTATATATTGTAGTCCTTAAACTGAACGGTTTGGTTGTAAAGCTTGGATTGTTCTTCTAAAAGACACTATCAACATGTACTTGAGGCGAAAGTTGGCAGTTAATATTTCTCTCCTGTTGATTAAGAACTTGTTCTGCTCTGACTTCAAATTTCTTCCTGAGATGGGAATATTATCCACTATAGAAGACTTCCATTACGAAGTAGTTTGGAGTGCTATACAGATAGCTATAAAAACAACACTAACCTTTAAGCCAGAAGCTCCCTAACACATCAGATCATGCTCTTGTGTTGGCTTTACTCTGTCTGCATCTTACGGGACTTTAGAAATGGCAGTACTCAAACCCATTGACATATGATACCCAAAAGGTCAAGAAACTCCAACAGGTTTCTATAGTTTCCACTGATTCGATAGATGCTTGGAAAACCATCCAGTCAGTCTTGGAATGCAGGTAGGAGCAAAGCCTCTGCAATGGCTTTGGACAGTGAAAGCAAAAGTGATGAGGCGGGCGGCGGCAACAGACGATAAATACTAAGACTGATCAGGGAAGACAGGTTTTTGAAGGCATAATGTAGGCTATTTCACACACACACAGAGACAGTACGATTAGTCCTCTTCAATTCAGGACATCAAACCATTGGATATAACATTTAAAGGAGTTGTTAAACCAGCTTGCCTTCTGGCTAACTTTCAGTTACCGGAATGGCAGATTAAAATAATCCTTAATGAAGTTGAAAAGGTGTTAGCTCCTCTAAAGCATGAGTTATAATGTGAATCAGTTCTAAAGATCTTCAAGGATGACAGTCTAGTTTCGTAAGTTAGGTTGCTATGAACACTGAGTTTTGGGAACTGAATGCAGTCTCTAATGACTGACTGGTCTCCGTTAGCTGATCAAAGTGAACACACAATTGCTACTAACTAAAAGAAGAGATTATTGTTGAGAAAAAAAAGTTGTAAATGATAAATGAGAAATGCTTAGTTCGAATAAATAATTGATAATGTTTGTCTATGATTAATTATTCAACTAATGAACCAGGTTAAAACGACTGAAGCGTTTACTACTTGCACGATTTTTCTTATGGCTTGGCATACCTATTTTGTTTGTCTAGTTGTTTTTCAGTCTGCTACCACGTAGAATTTCTTACATACATATATCAGTTCAACTTGCCATACTACATTAGCAGAGATTGGATTGTCAATTCAAATCCTCAAGTAGTACAGGTGGTAGCTGTATTTGCATTGATCGAAAAGAGTTCGAAGATATGATTCTAGTAGTATACCCTAGTGGATTAAATCTAAAAGGCGAAGAAGAGAGGTCATGAGGCAGCATTTACATTGTTGCCTAACTGTTTTTCTAATTGTTCCTAGAATATATTCTTAGCTTTGCTGTCATTAAGTAGAACTCTATGAGGTTTCCTTGCGATGTCTTTTGTACATCCAGTAGGTCGTAAATGAATACGCGCTCGCACCAGAGCCCAAGAATGACTGACAATTTTAACTGGAGCCTCTCCACCGGTCGCTGATAGCCGTATGACCTAGTTGGGTTCATCGTTGAGTTGACTTTGGGGATCGCCAGATCAATAGATGTTTTTTTATACTTCAAGTTAGTGTTTGCTAGAAATAGGCAATTATCTGAGCATAGTTGCATACCCAGTGGTTTTTCTTCGGTACATATTGCTTGTTTAACTAAAGATAATTCTTTCTGTAGCTTAGATTTTCATGGTATATATGTGAATAATTTTATTTACTGAAGAATGAATGTGTTATATGGTATTATTCATTCTGTTCTGTCAGTTAATGTAGTACGTATAGCATACATATGTATCTGTTCAAGTTATCAAACCATGTCAGTCAGTCAGTCCGTACATTAAATGCTCCAACATGTAGTCTAGAACGAGGTTTCAGGAGACCAGGAATGACGTTTCGTGAACTCGCATCGTTTGCGTTAGCGGTGCAGTCAGATAAGGGAATGTGAGTAGAGTTTGTTGTGGAGAGAATGGAGGTATGTGTGTGGGTGTAGGAAGGATTTGATTTCGACCAATTTGGTCTCTCGTGCTGTTACGGGTATGAGGGCGGTTATCACTTCCCGGCTGCCCACACCGTGGAAGGTTGTTTCTCGAGGGACCTGAGAAGGAAGATAGATTAGTGTTGGTCTTGGAGACCTGGGAGCGTGACTGCAGAGTCCAAGGGACAACTGCTTGAGGTCAGTCACGCACGGCCTTTTTATGAAAGGATTTTCGAGTATTAGCTCCTCTCTTAAAGGCCCTTAGTGGGCACACTTACTGACGGAGACTGAAATCCGTGAGGTAGGGTGACGTGTGACATTTTTATGGTCGACCTTTTCTAACCCTTCCTTCCTTGTGAGAAGGCATCATCGCTGCAGATGCCGTTTGTCTAAGGGAAACACCTTACTGCTGTCACACCCCTCTGCAGTCAGTCAGCAGCACGACTACGCCCTGAGACCTTGAGTAGTTGCTTTTAGTCTCATCGTTCTCCAATCGACCTGCCTGACATGGTAGGACCTGCAGGAACATATGTTCCAGCCAGTATAGCTCAGTTGGGTCATGACGATAGGCAAGCCCGACCACTAACACGTCAAGGTAGCAGCTACGGTCGGGATCAAACCATGTCTACACAATGAGATGTAAGTGTAGAGTAGTCTTGGTTACAGTATCAGTGTTAGTAAAAAAATAAGTGTAGTGTAGATAACATGATTTAGGAAAAGGTGTTGAATACATTTTTGGAATTTCATAATCTTAAAGGAAGGCGAAATATGTGTTTGTGTGTCATTGCGACGGATTCTGAGCTGTCAACTAAAGTCTCCAACGATTGGTTACAATAATCGCTCTAACTCCAACCTGTAGATAGATAACCTGTAATTATTGACACATATTCGATTAACATTCAACAACTACATGAACTGTTGATAGGTTTCAGTATTTGATCTTTTCTAGCATTCTTGCAAACTTTATTCTATGCCAACCAATATCACGTATTGATTTGGGCGTTAGTTTAGCATGTGTGTAAAATACATTTCATTACGTACTTAAATCAATTGTTGTCAATATGCTTTGACATATCTTGTTATAATATAAGTGAATTCATATTGTACTAAAATATTATTGAAATTCATTTGACTTACATACTACTTAATTTAAACACTACGCTTAATGACTAAAGATGGAAGATCAATACATGATGTATTGAAACTTCATCACCGATGCCCGACTGCCTCGACGAGCTATGTTTTATGTGGTGTGGGAGTAAGTTGGAAAACAATGTAAAGGTGACACGTCCAAAACATGTCACAAACATATGAAGTCACTTATAAATGAACTGAGTCATTTTGGTAAGTATAGACTACTGGGCTGGGATGGGTGAGTGAGTCGAGCGTAACCGATGGTTAGAGACTTTAAATGACGCTGGCGCATCCATTGTTCTAATCTAAACTATTCATGACCTTCATCTTACTCGTCTCATATGTATTTCACTGGATTGCTAATAATTCTACTATCGCTATCACTGTTGGATTTGAACTGACAGTTACGTCTCTGTGCTAATGTGGTATGACAACCTGAACTAATGTACTTATGTACGATGTTCTGCGTTGTGTCTGTCTGTCTGTCTGTCTGATTGTCTATTTCACTGGATCATACTTCTTGAATAATACTACTACATCTATTACAATACTATTCGAATCGACAATTTCATCTCTTTGCTAATGATATGATATGAAAACTACGTACGTGCGAAGCTGCACGTTGTAATAGATTGGCTGACTGACAACACTTAATAACTGATGAAAATTAAAGTTGATGTGAAAATCATCGGTTAATTAATTACACAGTAAATCTTCTGCCAGTTATGTAACAAACAATCTTTTTACTAACCATATATTACATAATTATTAGATGATCAGTAACAGTTACAGTTAGTCAATTACATTTTTTGACAGTGTAATTAAAATAACAATTTCTTATTAATCAGCATAAAAAAATTAACGATAAAGAAGGTCAACCATGTTAGTTAGTTGGTCTTATTCAACTGTTATAATAAAACATGAATAATTTTTCAATGTTATTTGTTATTTTGATACGTGATTTGAATTGTGCTTTAATGAAGTCTCTTTTTTGATTGTTGTCATCTATGTGTTCATGTATTAAAAAAACACGAGCTTAGAAATGATAGAATAATTGATAATTATCATCATGCTCAAAGTTAACATTGTTTTCCGCTAAGTTCAATAGTTCCGGAAGATCAATGTTTGAATGTCTGTCTAAAATTCAATATGTTATGTAGTTTGATCATTGATCAATCATCGGTACCATTCACTATCTTATTATGTATGTTTGCTCCGTTCTCCTATATGGCTGTAAAACATGGCCAGTGAGAGTAGAAGATATTCGTAGGTTACTGGTTTTCGATCATAAATGTCTTAGAAGCGTTGCTCGTATACCGTGGGACAACCGAATAAGTAATGCTGTCGTTAGGAAACGAGTACTAGGTAAGGATGGTAGATCCATAGATGAAGTAGTGAAACTTCATCAGTTGAGGTGATTGGGACATGTGTTACGTATGGCTAACCACCGACTGCCTCGACGAGTTATGTTTTGTGATGTAGGAGTAGGTTGGAAGAAAGTTAGTGGCGGCCAGACCGAAACATGGCAGAAATCCGTGAAGTCATTTACTAGTGAACTGAGTCATATTGGTAGATGTAGACTACCTGGTTGGGGTCCGCGAGACGAAAGTCACCAATGGTTAGAGACTTTGAACGACATGGCTCAGAATCGTTTGCAGTGGTGCAGGTGCATCCATTCTTTGAGCTCTCTGATATCCTAATCGTCTGGATTCGTCAGCACCGCTACCTTTGTCTTTCTAACCTTATCTCACTGAATTAGACTTCTTGAATAATATCTTCGAACCCAAGTGTTCTTCATTATCATTAATACCTCTACTATCTTTATCACTATGGGATTTGATTTGACCTCTGCGTCTTTGTGCTATTGTGGTATGACAACATTAACTTATGTACATACGTACGAAGTTCTACGTTGCAACTGACTGACTTAAATTGATTTGAAATGATTGATATCAGTCGGATACAATCTCTTTTCATATCAATAACAATCATGTGCTTACTAGTGACTAATTTCAAGATGTATTCCTTGGAATTCTAGTGTCGGTGTAGTGAAGGTGAACACAGGTGAGGGCAACCGAATTGTATTTATCTCAAATTACAGAGATACTCAGTAAAATAGGAAAACCATATCGTAAATCGTTAATTTTCAGAATATCAATCCATCATATCGAACTGGACTGCTCCTGTTGCAAAGCATCAATCCATTATCTAACGTTTCACTGTTCATGCGTTTCATACAAATCCGATTGTGTTCCCGCTCTTCCTTTCTTGATCTTCCCTCATCTTCTGCTGCCAGACATTACGTTTTTACTCGCGTCATATACTACTTATAAGTAGCGCGCACCACATCGGGTGTGAAATGAATAACCTGCCGAAGACAATGAATGGATTGATTGAAGTTAAACATAAGCACTGTTGGATGCCTACTCAATGGTCAAGAGGTTGGGTATTGGCGTGCGAGAACGCCAGTTCCAGGTTCGATGACCGCTCCTAGGGAGCATGGATTCGCATTTCTGATGAGCCTCGACAGTTAGATGAAACGGTTATCCAATGCTTACAGGTTGACGATGATAATCAGTTCGGTAATAGAGTTTCTACAAATTTCGTTCATTAATATCCCGTTATTGATACTTTGATCAGTATTATTTGACGCATGTGCATTCTGTACGGATTATCTCAATTGAAACTTATAAAAATGGTTATATCAAATTAATCCGTACAGGCTACAAATATGTTAACCAGAACTGATCGAATATTAGTCAAGTTAACAACGACATCATTCAAATCATTATAAATTAGATCATAATTCATACCTGTTACTCTAAGTGTGTGATTGACTATCTTAACTCATTTAATACTTGGATAACACGTTGATATCGAAAGGTACCGGGTTTGAGTTCCAAAGTGAGAGGATTATGATTGATTGGATTCATGAATCGATCATTATAGATTACCATTAGAAACCTAGAAGAATTGGATGGCCGTTTGATCCTTAGTATGGGACTCTTCAGCAGTGCACGTCCAAGATCCTCTGTTCACGCGAATTGAACTCTGGAACTTCGGTTCCACGCTTGAACGCCTAACCTCTCGATTACTGATCTGGCATCCAATGGTGTTAATGTGTAACTTGGATCAATTCCTGATATTGCATTATATTACCCATTGTCTTCGGTAGTTACTGTATCTCACCCAACGGAGTTTTTCCCCCTCGAAATGCAAAGTGTTGCTTCAAGATTGGGTTGCATCGGCACCTGAACTAGTGATAGGGAGTGAAGTAGTCGAGCGTGTTGACCGCTTCACTTATCTGGGGAGTCTCATCAGTGCTGATTGCCTGGTTTGTGACGAAATCTCAGCTCGGATACAGAAAGCTCGATTGGCTTTTGCCAACCTGCGTCACTTATGGCGCAGGCGAGATATCCGTTTGCTGACTAAAGGACGAGTGTACTGTGCAGCAGTTTGCTCCGTCCTACTGTACGGATGCGAGACTTCGCCGTTAAGAGTAGAAGATATTCGTAGGTTACTAGTATTCGATCATAGATGTTTAAGAAGCATTGCTCCTATATCGTGGGACAACCGAGTAAGCAATGCTGTCGTTAGGAAACGGGTGCTAGGTAAGGATGGCAGATCAATAGATGAAGTATTGAAACTTCATCAGTTGAGGTGATTGGGACATGTTTTACGTATGCCTAACCACTGACTGCCTCGAAGAGCTTTGTTTTGTGATGTGTTTCTGTCTGTCTGTCTGACCCAACGGTGTTGAACCACACTGATCACATCTTTTCACCCTAGAACGAAGATCTAATCACCTGTGAACATGTTTTTATGATTATCATAATAGGTTTATGGAAATTGTTATTTTTACACTTATTAAAATCATGTTTTTACCTGTCTAAATCTTTCATTCAAAGTTCATTGTTAATTTTTTTTTCATTTACTATGGTCACGATTGTTTATTTTTTCCCCCATTGGTTCATTTCTCTTTTTGTAATAATATTGATTTTCTCTCTCTCTCTCTCTCTATTGTTAACAACATGAAATGTATTTGTAGACAACACTTGGTTATTTAGTGATTTCATTTTTTATTGGGTTTCTTTGAAATAAATCTTACATACGTTTTGGATATTAATCCACATTTAATAGGGTATAAATGATTGTTTGTTTACGTTCAGTAAAATATAATTTAAAGCTTCTATATTTGCAAATCATATGCATATGTAGGATGAATATGTTTGGATGACCCTCTCATCTTAGTATAGGACTCCTTAGTGGCACAGTGTGCATCCGCGACATTCGCTTGTGGGAAACAAACCTAAGATTTCTGTCATGTTTTGGTCTGGTAGCCCCTAACTTTCTCCCGATCTACTCCTACACCACAAAACATAGCTCGTCGAGGCAGTCGGTGATTAGGCATTTGTAACACATGTCCCAACCACCTCAACTGATGAGGTTTCAATACTTCATCTATTGATTTGCCATCCTTACCTAGTACTCGTTTCCTAACGACAGCATTGCTTACTCGGTTGTCCCACGATATAGGAGCAATGCTTCTTAAACATCTATGATTGAATACTAGTAACCTACGAATATCTTCTACTCTTAACGGCGAAGTCTCGCATCCGTACAGTAGGACGGAGCAAACTGCTGCACAGTACACTCGTCCTTTAGTCAGCAAACGGATATCTCGCCTGCGCCATAAGTGACGCAGGTTGGCAAAGGCCAATCGAGCCTTCTGTATCCGTGCTGAGATTTCGTCACAAACCAGGCAATCAGCACTGATGAGACTCCCCAGATAAGTGAAGCGGTCAACACGCTTGACTATTTCACTCCCTATCACTAGTTCAGGTGCCGATGCAACCCAATCTTGAAGCAACATTTTGCATTTCGACTGGAGGAAAACCGCATCCCGAACATGTTTGCATTGTTGCTTAGGGTGGTCAGAAAACTCTAAATTTTGTCAGCGTCTTCACCAAGCAGGATTATGTCATCTGCCTATTCTAATCAATAAGCGGGACGGACAATTCACTACTTGATGATAAATTTGAGATGTCTTCAAGGACAAATATTTATCATTGAACAAGAAATGGATTCATTTTCTTACGGGAATGAATACCTATGTATGATTATATTCAGTAGTCAAATAGATTTTCTCTTCTTGTACTTCCTTTCTTGCTTAATTAAATAGTTTGGATGGCGGGGTTGACATCTACCACATCCATTTGTAGGACTTACTTACTTAGTACTTACGCCTGTTACCCTCAATGGAGTACAGGCCGACGATCAGCATTCTTCAGCCTTCTTTGTCTTGGGCCTTCCTTTCCCGATTCTGTCCAGTTGTTGTTTATTCTTCCCAATATCTGTCTCCATTTACCAGCGTTATGTGTTCTTTGGCCTTTCTCTTTTCTTTTGATTTTGAGGATTCCAGGTGAGAGCTTGTCTTCTGATGCAGTCGGATGCTTTCCTCAATATATGTCCTATCCACCAACTCCATAGCTTCTTCCTCTGTTGGAATCTAGTTTGTTCTCTCCCCAGACAATAGGTTATTGCTGATAGTGTCTAGCTAATCATTTGTGTCAGACATCGCACATCATCAAATAAGTTTCGCTTTTATTTTCTTCTGGTTGGCAGTTACTCTCATCTTCTTCTTCTTCATCATTTTTCTTTTCTTGCTTTATGTAGTATGAATGATTTTAATCAATCAGAAGAATCTTCTCATGGCTTATCACTTGATCATACTGTTCAACAAAGTAAGTGGTTATTATTATTGAGTAAGTAGTATTGTTCTATGTTTTTTTCTTCCGAAAAAAAATACTTTTTTTTCCGATATACATGATATTTTATCTTGTAAATTCATTATTTAACTTCAGTACTTACTTACTTACGCCTGTTACCACCAGTGGAGCATAGGTCGCCAACCAGTTTTCTCCAACCAACTCTGTCCCAAGCTTCCCTTTCTAGTTCTGTCCAATTTTTGTTCATTCTTGTCATGTCTTTCTCTATTTCTCGGTGTAATGTGTTCCTTGGCCTTGAGGGTTCCATGTGAGGGCTTGTCTTGTGACGCAGTCAGGTGCTTTTCGTAGTGTGTATCCTATCCACCACTTCAAGCGCTTCTTCCTGATTTCCTCATCCATTGGAATCTGGTTTGTTTTCTCTCACAGTGAGAAACAAGCGAGGAGCTGATATAGCCTCAGATCACTATGAAAAATAAAACCGAATCTCAAGAAACACTGGATAACGGGGCAGACAATATCACATAAGTTTAATACAGCCTTCTTTCGGGATACCGTAAAACTCAAGGAATTCAAGATAGCCCTCACCAATAGGTTCCAGGCCTTGCATGATATACTCAATGGAGAGGAAGTAACATTGGAGAACAATTGGAAAGGGATCAAGGAGGCAATCACTTCAACATGTCACGAAGTTCTGGGTCACAAGAGGTTCCATCACAAGGATTGGATCTCTGTTGGTACTCTTGCAAAAACTGAAGAAAGGAGGAACAAGAGGGCAGCAATCAATGTCAGCCGAACAACAGCAGAGAAAGTTAAGGCACAAGCTGAATACACAGAAGCACACAGGGAAGTGAAGAAGAGCATCAGAGCTGACAAACGAAAATATGTGGGAGATCTAGCATTGACGGCGGAAAAGGTTGCAAGAGACGGAAACGTGAGACAATTGTACGAAACAACAAAGAAGCTGGCCGGAAACTATCGTAAACCAGAACGACTAGTGAAAAGCAAGGAAGGCAAAGTAATCAGCAACACTGAAGAACAGCGAAATAGGTGGGTAGAGCACTTTAAGGAACTCTTGAGTTGACCAGCTCCACTGAACACACCCAACATCGAAGCAGCATCCACGGACTTCCCAATTAATATTGGCGCACCTACAACTGAGGAGATCAGCATGGGCATCAGACAAATCAAGAGCGGCAAATCAGCAGGACCAGACAACATTCCAGCAGAGGCAATGAAAGCAGATGTAGAAGCATCTGCGAAAATATTTCACATCCTCTTCAAGAAGATTTGGGATGAGGAACAAGTACCGTCAGATTGGAAAGAAGGATATCTGATCAAAATACCAAAGAAAGTCGATCTGAGCACGTGTGAGAACTACAGAGATATCACTCTTCTTTCAATACCTGGCAAAGTCTTCAACAGTGTATCGTTAAACAGAATGAAGGATTTCGTAGACGCCCAACTTCGAGATCAACAGGCTGGATTTAACTTCAATACTCCCTCATATTTTCCTTCCTTCAATCTTTCCAAAGTACTATGCTCGATACATTTGTTATTGGGAGTTTAAATCTTCCCAATGATAGTTGGGCTTATAATTGACCAATCTAAATTGACTTATATGGTTGTATCCTGTGCGTATGATGCCCTTCTGTATAGCTATTAGGTTAGAAGTATTTTATAGCTAGATAGTGGCTGTTAGCAAGGTAATGCAAGATGTGCATTTCATCTTATACAGGAGATTCATCTTTAGTTGGATGTACTTGCATTCCAGAGTTGATGTTGTTGACCATTTACTAATTTTCTGTTGCTTGTTATGCCTATGAAGATAGTTAACATGATACGAAATTCTTATGATGGATTAAATTGCAAAATCGTGCACGGTGGACAGCCGAATAGATTCGTTTGAGGTGAAGACCGGTGTCGCAGGCAAGGTTGCTTATTCTCACTCTTTCTCCTGGTGGTCGACTGGATTATGAAGATGTCTATATCTGAGGAAAAGCACGGGCTACCTTTCTACAATTTAAAATTATCTGGAACTCCAAACAAATGAAAATCAACACCAAAATCAGGATTTTCAATACAAATGTCAAGACAGTTCTACTGTATGGAGCGAAAACTTGGAGAACTACGAAAGCCATCATCCAGAAAATATAAGTATTCATTAACAGTTATCAACGCAACACCATAAGCAACAATCTACTGTTGGAGAGAACAAACCAGTTTCCAGAGAAGGTGGAAATTTGGAAGAAGCGGTGGAAGTGGATTGGACGCACATTCCGGAAGGTGTCCAAATGCGTCACACTGCAAGCCCTCCTTTTGTAACCCTCAAGGAAGGCCAAGTAACACATTGCACCGAGAAATAGAGAAAGATATGAGAAGAATGAATAAACATTGGACAGAACTAGAAAAGGAAGCCTAGGACAGAGTAGGTTGAAGAATACTAGTCGGCAGCCTATGTTCCCTTGGGGGTAACCGGCGTAAGTAAGTAAGTAAATAAGTAAAGTTATTCCTCATGTGGACCAGAGGCCGCCGACAAGCATTCTTCAACCAACTCTGTGGCCTGGGTGTACACCTTTCTAGTTCTGTCCAATTTTTGTTCATTCTTCTCATGACTTTCTTTACTAATCAATTGATATCAGTTTGAAAATAACACAGTCTACTACTTTACTACTACTTCGACTGAACTAATTTTAAATTTAAGTTTTTTTAAGGATTTTTCTTGAATATTTGTTTAAAATTGAACAGAAAAAAATTGTGAATACAATGATGAATTTCTATAGACATTTGAAATCATCAATCAATCATTGCTAGACCACCATTAGAAACCTGGAAGCACTGCTGATGTGTCCGATACCAGGACGAAACGGCCGTCCAGTGGTCAACAATGTCTATACGCTATAGATCCTGGAGCAAATGTGTAGCATTTGTTCGGGATTTGGTTATCTAGCTCTTCTAAAAGGGACCTTTTTACACACTAACCTGATAGAAATATCGACTGGACATTCGGATTTCTTCCTCGCATTTTCGTGAACAACATCCCCGCTGTGTCAAGGTAGTGGGTAGGACTTCTGTGATAGTGGTTATACATGTGTAGCTATGTGAGAGAGCATTTGAAGAGGTAGAACGATCTGTTCATCGTACCAGATTATTTGGTTGTAAATGTAACATCATAACAACTATAAGACCCCTCCTAATTAGTGATTTATTTGGTAGTTTAAACTCAAAATTTCGTATAGAATCAGATCGTGAACCGTTCAGGTGTATGTTTGCTTGGATCATTGAATAGTGATAGGTGTTATCATTGTCTAGTCCTTCTCTACGTGCTTGATCGAATCCTATCGATCGATATCATGCGCACCATTAAATCATGTCTTCAGTTTCTAATTTTAATCAGTGCATGATGGTACGACGTGATTTTTATGACACAAAGGTATTATTATTACTATTATTATTACCATTATTATTGCTATTATTATTATTATTATTATTATAACTATTATTATTATTACTAGTATTATTATTACTATTATTATTATTACTAGTATTATTATTACTATTATTATTACTATTATTATTACTATTATTATTATTAATATTATTATTATAACTATTATTATTACTAGTATTATTATTACTATTATTATTATTACTGCTATTATTATTATTATTATTATTATTATTATTATTATTATTATTATGTATATATATGATTTTCTTTCAAGATGAAGAAAGTGTTCCACATGAAATGAACCAAGAAACTAAGAAGACGAATGATTATGAATTTTTAGGATTGTTAGAACAACAATTCATTAATAAACCGGTAAGTTTAGTCTAATTATTACTATTATTGAATATGTAACTAGATTTGAATTTATCGAGGTCAATTCTTTTCTATTGTCTATCAGATATTTTATCCTATCTCTTCACGTCTCTCTTCTCATCTGAACTAGTGATAGGGAGTGAAGTAGTTGAGCGTGTTGACCACTTCGTTAGTCCTGATGGCCTAGTGTATAGAAGATTCGACCGGTTTTTTCCAAAGTGTGTCAGTTGTGGCTTATAGGTGAGATATCCGTTTGCTAACCAACGGGGAGGAGTTTACTGTACAGCAGTTTGCTTCGTTCTACTCTACGGGTGTGAAACATGGCCAGTAAGAGCAGAGGACATTCGTAAGTTACTAGTATTCGATCATAGGTGTCTTCGAAGCATTCCTTGTATATCCTTGGACCACAGAGTAATGGTTTTGTTAGAATGGCAGATCAATAGATGAAGAAGTGAATGTTCATCAGTTGAGGTAGTTAGGACATGTATTACGTATGTTTAACCACCGGCTGCCTCGATGAGCGGTGTTTTGTGGTGTAAGAGTAGTATGGACGAAAGCTAAGGGTGGCCAAACAAAAACACGGAACCGATCCCTGATGTGACTGACAAGTGGACTGAGCCATATTGGTAGGTGCAGCCTACCTGGTTAGGATGGGCGAGATGATAGTAACTGATGGTTAGAGACCTTGAATGATGATGCATCCATCATGTATTTTCTCTCAAATTCTAATCTTCCGAATTCTTCATGATAGTTTTACTCTTTTTATACGTATTTCATATCTTCTATCCCTAATATTTTCGACTACGGCTAATGTCGCTACTACCTCTATTACTATGAGATTTGAACTGACGATGGCATCTCTGTGTTAATGTGGCATGACAACTTGAACTGATGTACGTACGTACATCAGTAAAATCGGAAAACCATATCATAAATCGTTAATTTGCAAAATATCAGTCCATCATATCGAACTGGACTGTTCCTGTTGCAAAACATCAATCCATAGTCACTATTCATGCGTTTCATACAAATTCCATTGTGTTCTTCTAACTCTTCCTTTCTTGATCTTCCCCCATCTTCTGCTGCCAGACATTACGTTGACACTCACGTCATATACTACTTAGAAGTAGCTCACACAACACTACTTCTACTGTATTTGTACCGTAAAAATTTCAAGTCACAATTTCTCACAAATCATTTGTAGTCTATGATTACATAGACAAGTAAGTCTCAATATTAACGCATCTTATGTGTACACTCTTATCATTTGACTTCTATAGATATATATAAATCTGATTAACTCACAGCATTTTAAAACTATATATAATCTCTTATCACATGATATTGATAAGCATTAACTAACAGTTATTATGTGATCATGTTTTAAGGTCGGTTTTGTAAAAACTTTGATTGGTTTTAGTGTATAATGAACTTGATCAACTGTTTTTTCTTTTCTTATCGAGTTTTTTTGTGGTTGCAGTATGAAATAATCTGTGATATCTGTATATATATTGATATCATGAATCGATCGATGTTAGACTACTACTACTACTACTAGTGAATACATGAGGAAGTACTGGATGGCCGTTTGATCTCCTAGTCAGTCAGTCAGTCAGTCAGTTGCAATGTAGAACTTCGTACGTATGTACATAAGTACATGTTGCCATACCACATTAGCACAGAGACGCAAATGTCAAATTAAAAACCCATAGTGATAAAGATAGTAGAGGTATTAATGGTAATGAAGAAGACTAGGATTTGAAGATATTATTCAAGAAGTATAATTCAGTGAGATAAGGTTAGAAAGACAAAGGTAGATGAGCTGACGAATCCAGAAGATTAGGATTTAAGAGAGCACAGAGAATAAATGCACCGGCGCCATTGCGAACGATTTCGAGCCATGTCGTTCAATGTCTCTAACCATTGGTGATTTTCGTCTGGCGGACCCCAACCAGGTAGTCGACAACTACCAACATGACTCAGTCCACTCGTCAATGATTTCATGGATTTGTGACATGTTTTGGTCTGGCCGCCCCTAACTTTCTTCCAACCTATTCCTACACTGCAAAACATAACTCGTCGAGGCAGTCGGTGGTTAGACATATGTAACACATGTCCCAACCACCTCAACTGATGAAGTTTCAATACTTCATCACTTGATCTGCCATTATTACCTAGTACTCATTTCCTAACGATAGAATTGCTTACTCGGTTGTCCCATGATATACGAGCAATGCTTCTCAAACATCTATGATCGAATAGTAGTAACCTACGAACGTCTTCTACTCTACCCGACCGAAGCTGCTACCTTGACGTGGTGGTCGGGCTTGCCTATCGTGATGACCCGACCGAGCTATATTGGCTGGAACATATGTTGCTGAAGGTTCTACCATGCCAGGCAGAGCGATTGGAGAACGATGAGACTAAAAGCAGCTACCCAAGGTCTGAGGGCGAAGTCGTACTGCTGACTGACTGTGGAGGGGTGTGACAGCAGTAAGGTGTTTCACTCGGACAACCAGCATCTGTAGCGATGCTGCCTTCTGACAAGGAAGGAAGGGTTAGAAAAGGTCGACCCTAAAAATGTCACACCTCACCCTACCTCACGGATTTCAGTCTCCGTCAGTAAGGGTGCCCACTAAGGGCCTTTAAGAACGGAGCTAATCCTCTAAATACCTCTCATAAAAGGGCCGTGCGTGACCGGCCTCAAGCAGTTGTCCCTTGGACTCTGCGGTCACGCACCAACACTAATCCATCTTCCTTTTCAGGTTCGTCAAGAAACAACCTTCCATGGTGTGGGCAGCCGGGAAGTAATCACCGCCCTCATACCCGCAACAGCACACGAGACAAAATTGTTCAAAATCAAATCCTTCCTACATTCCCTAATACCTCTCTTATCTCCACAACTAACTCTTCTCACATTCATTTATCACAGTGCACACCTAATGCAAACGATGCGAGTTTGCGAAACGTCGTTCCTGGTCTCCTTAAACCCCGTTCCAAACTACATGTTGGAGCATTCAATGTACGGACATTGTGTCAAATAGGGCAACAGGCATCATTAGCTAGGACTTTAGAATCTCGTTCCATCGATGTGTGCTGCGTCTCGGAAACGCGCATACAGGATCCGAGTAGCATCACTCATTTGACCTCACCATGTCAAGATAAAGAAGCAGCTCGATTTACCCTTCGTGTATCCGGTAGCCCTGATGCTGCTTCTAGGGGCCTCGCCGGTGTAGGTATAGCATTGAGTCGTAGGGCAGAACAATCTCTCCTTGACTGGATCCCTGTAAATAGTCGCTTGTGCGCCGTCCGACTGAACGGGACAATAAGGACTCGGAAAGATAGGGACACTCGCCGTTGCCTCTTCGTCATATCAGCCTACGCCCCCACTGACTGCAGCCCAGATGATGTAAAAGATGAGTTTTACAGAAAGCTTTCGGACCTCCTCCAAAAAGTTAAGCGCTCTGATATAGTTATAATGGCTGGTGACTTCAATGCACAAGTAGGTAGACTAAGTGAAAATGAAAGACACCTAGGTGGATGTTACGGTCTCGCGGCTCAAAGAACAGACAATGGCGACCGTCTGTTGCAACTGTGCTCAGATAACCAACTATTTCTAGCAAACACTAATTTTAAGCATAAGGAAAAACACCTTTTGACCTGGCGACCCCCGAAGTCGTCTCAACGTTGGACACAACTAGATCATATCGCCATCAGCCACCGATGGAGGGGTTCGATAGAGGACTGTCGCTCGTTCTGGGGCACATGTTTAGATTCAGATCATGCCCTAGTGCGAGCACGTATTTGTTTGAGGCTTGCTGGACGTAGGAAAGACACCGTAAGGAAGCCTCTTAGGGCTTTACTTGATGATAATCAAGCTAAGAAAATATTTCAGGAGGAACCAGAAAAACAGTTAGGCGACCATGCAAGTGATTCCCATCCTGAAGCAGGTTGGTATGATATCAAAAAGGCTGTGGAAACAGCAGTGATATCTGCTAGCAAGGTAAACCGTAAGGCTAGGATGAAGCCCTGGATCCCAGTCGCATCCACCGAACTGATGGATGCTCGAAAACGCATTCCACCTGACTCTGAACATGGTGAAGAGCGTAGTCAGCTTAGGTGCAGACTTATAAAAAGCCTACGTAACGACCGTGAACAGTGGTGGGTGGCGAAAGCAAAAGCGATGGAAAAGGCAGCGGCGATAGGCAACACTAGACAACTTTTCCGCCTTATTAAAGAAACCGGTATTAGGAACCCGAATGTGAGTGAGACTATCTCGGAAAAGGATGGTCTTATTATCCATTCTCAATCTAGGAGGCTGGACCGATGGGCAGAACACTTTAGGGATCAGTTCAACTGGCCTTCAGCCACTCTTCGGTTGCCCACGATCTCCAGTCATCCTGAATGGCAAATCGATTTAAGTCCTCCCAGTTTACATGAAGTTGAGAAAGCTATAGGAAATCTAAGGAGAGGTAGAGCGGCAGGTCCCGATAGGCTTACCCCTGAGATGTTTAAGGATGGTGGTCCAGCTTTAACGGTTAAACTGACCGAGATCCTAGGTAGAATCTGGGAAATGGACGTAATCCCATCTGACTGGTCTCAGTCGCTAATTGTCCCAATCTACAAGAAAGGACAGAAGTCCTCTTGTGACAATCACAGGGGAATAAGTTTAACTAACATAGTTTCTAAATTGTTAGCCTCAATTATACGGAGACCTAGTCCAGAATTTTCGGTCTTGCACTTGATTGCTCTTAACCTCTTGACCATTGAGTTGGCATCCGACGGTGTTGATGGTCATCTTCAGTTAATCCACAATATTGTCTTTGGTATGTTACTGTCTCACACCTAACACAGATTCACCTCTGGTAGTCACCACTCGTCGCCAGAACTACGCGAATGCTCACTAGCGAGCAAATGCTAATTGTCAGAATAGGATTGCAGAGATTTTTGAGTGTCATTAAAATCATGAACCCTAAAACGGTGTTGCAGTGCTTCCAGGT